CCCTTTGCCCCGGGTGGCGGGGCAGCCCCGGTTGGGCCGGGAGCACAGCAGCAGGCACTAGCCATTCCCTGCCATGCAGGGTGGCTGGTGGCCTGGGGGAGGCTGCAGGCAGCGTAGACGGGGGCAGGGGAACAGCACCACCTTCCCCTGCCGTGGGGGAGCCTGCGGGCTGGGTGACATCTGCAGAATGGCCCTGGCCAGACACAGCGCTTTCCCCACAGCCCCTCAGCCATGGCACGCCACCTTTGAGCAGTGCTCGGGGCTGGGGAGCCAGATGTGCCCAGCGGTTGGGCATCTCCAGGTAAGCGAGGCTCTGGGCGCAGCAAGGGGGTCACCGCCAGCACCCAGCTCTCCTGCTCAGGAGCCAGACCCTGTCCTTTCCCCTTGCCTTGCAGCCCAGCCCTGGGTGGCATCCACCTCAACCCAGCGAGGGCCAGGTGGTTGACCCATGTGGAGAAGAGCACAGTGCTGGGGCAAGCAGTAAGAGCATCCAGCAGCTCTTCAATGCCAACACCAAGTTCAACCCGTCCCAGTGCAAGGGAGGGACCCTGGGAGACCACGGGTTAGGGGGTGGCAGAGCATGGCCCATGTATCTCACTGGTGGCCGACAGGCAGCACGGACCAGGGGCATGCGGGGCTGCAGCATTCCCACACCATCTCGTGCCCCCCACATCCTGTCATGGTCCTGGCCAAAGGCATGGCCACCTCTGACCTGAAGACCCCTGACTGTGTCCTCCTTGGTGACAATGAGACACCTGAGGGGCAAAAGCCCACTGAAACCCTCAGCATTGCCTATGTGCACTGGGTGCCCAAAACCCAACACGAGGTCCTCAAGGACTCTCCAAGTTGGTATGTGCTCCTGTCCCCCAGCTGGCACAGGAGATGCAGTTGAGGGTCCCACACGCTGCCCTTGCCCCAGGCTGCCATCATTGAGTTCCTGGCTCGGAGGATCAGTAGCACCAACTCCATCAGTTGGATGAGGTGACCAGGACCAACATGGAGGAAGCAGCCCAACACCATTGGCATAGACCAGTGTATCACCAACCACTTCCTCAAGGGCAGCGTGGGTGGGTCCTGCACCCTCTGTCCCCGTGGGTGTCCCCTCCGGGGCCCACGTGCTGCGCTCAGGCTGTCCCTGCTGCTTTGTCTCAGGAAGCACAAGGAAGGTCCTGGGGTCCACACCACCATCCAGGCTGGGACACCATCTAGCCTGGTGGGACAGATCTACCTGGCAACTGGCTTGTCCCCTCTCATCCCTGGTGGCCCCTGGAGTTGTTCCAGCTTGTCACCTGCCTCTGGATGCTGGGGGTGGAGGAGGAGGCTTGCAGTGTCACCATCCCTAAGGGAACTTGTGGTGTCCCCAGCTGGCACTATCTGGCTGCAGTGCTCTGCCAGAGAAGGTTTTGGGGGCAGCCATCTCCAGAAAGATGTCCTCAAGCTGGTCTGTCTCCGAAGCTCTCAACCCACTGGAGGTGGCTCAGCACTGGCATCTCAGCTTCTGGCCCGACCTGCTGCCATACCTTCTGCCAGCTCCTCGAGCTCAATGAGTGCTGGTGCTGCCGCTTCACTGCCTGCATCGTTGCCTGCCTCTTCAACACCGTCATGGCCAAGAAGATCATGGGCTTCACCTTCTGCATGGATGGGGGAAACAAGGTACTGGCTGGGCAGGGTTGGGGAGGAACAGTCGAGCTGGATCATTCCCCTGCCTGCAGTTGTTCTTCAGTCACAGATGTGATGAGCGGCCTGGTTTCTGGAGCTCCACCTCAGAGCAGGAGGAAGATTTATAGGCCAGGCCCCAGTGCAGCTCAGCTTTCCCACTTGGCCCAGGGAGTCATCCAGCACCCCCATCAGCAAGTATCAAATGGATGAGGGTGCCCACCTGCACACTTCTGGCCTCAGGGCGAAGAATGAGCAGATCATGCAGACCACATCCCACTCCATCGCCTCAGCTGAGGGGTAGGGTCAGAGCACACCTGGGGTGGCCAGGACCACAAGCCACTGGTACTCCCCAGTGTCACGGCTCGGAGCAGGTCCCTGGTGCCATCCCAGGCCTGGCAGCTGTGTCCCTGGGAGCAGCACCCTGCTGTGACTATGCTGGTTTCCCACTGATAGGTTAGGTTGACCTTGGTGTTGGTACTGAAGATCTGCTGGATGCTCTCCTCCTGAGCCCTTGCTGGCTCTGGTCTGCCTGGTCTGCATTGCCTCAGACTGCTACAAAACCTGTGGCAACACCTATGCCATCATCTTCTGCACTGGTACATCTGCACCCATGCCATCGTCTTCTGCACATCTTCAAGGTAAGATGCTCCAGCCTTGGCCATGGTAGCAGGAAGGATTTGGTGCCCTTGGGGCCAGTCCTTTCAGACGTCAGCTCTGCCCATTCCCCTCCTCTGTGAGGCTGCTTTTTCCTCACCCTTCAGCTCTGATCTGCCCTGTGGAGTCACTACCTCTACCCAGGTGGCCACCAGGATTTCCCATTGGCAGAGCCCCTTGGCCCCTGAGATCCAGGGCTGCTCTTGGCCCTGGTTCTCACCCTCAGCAGCTCCCCTCAGGTGTTTTCCCAGGAGCTGGACTCTGAGCCCCTAGGCTCTTGGTGGCTTGTGCTCCAGGTGGAGACCATCAGCAGGAGGATCAGGCAGCACTACTCCTTCACCACCACCAGCACCATCGCTCAGCTGGACGTCCAGGCTCCTCCCGTGAAGAAGATGAAGCAACGATGGTTCTGTAGAAACATCTTAAGATAGCTGTGAAGATGTGGTGTATCCATATGCAGTGGGTGCTGCTGCTGACTGTGGATGCAGATGGGTGGGCTTCCCAGGGAGGGGTATTCCCTCTCTCCAGGGCACCCACCAAGACCAGGCTTGTGTCTCTCATTCCAGACTGTCCTAATAAAAAGACTTGGCTGCTTTGGGAGCTGGGGTGACCCTGCTCCTGAGCGATTACAGATTCCCATGTGGTCCTGAGCCTCACCAAGGCTGGGACACATCCCCAGGGCTAGCATAGCCCCCCAGGCCTTTGGGGTGCCTCAAATGCTACTGGTAGACATCTGGGGGGCAGAGAATGGCCCATGGAGGTCCCAGAGGAGGGTGTCACAAGAAAAGGCACATTGAAGCCCCTGCAGTGCAACAAGAAACACGCTGAAGACACCAAAATTCACTTGAGGTTCCTGCAGGTGCACAGACAGAGATGGTGAGGGTCCTGGTGTAGGAAGGGATAGACAGACCTCTGAAGAGTACAAAAAGGCACCTAGCAGCACCTGAGGGTGCACCAAAAGGCTCTTGGAGGACCCCCCCTGGGGATCTCCAAAAGGAATAAGGATGGCACTTGCGTGCTGCCAAAGGGACTTGGTGGGTCCAGATGCACATCAGAAGGTACTGATAGAGCTCTGGGAAGCTGATAGGCATGCAGGGCCAGTGCACCAAATGAACTTGGAGCCCCATGGGCCACATCCCAAAGCTCTAGGAGGCCTTTGGGGCACTACAAAAGGCACTGGTTCATCAGTGATGTTGAGCACAGAATGGCTGTTGGAGGACACCTGAAGGCACTTGAGTGTCCCCTGGTGCTGCACTGCAAGGCACCTGGGCAGTGCAGAAAGGCACATGGAGTCCCCTTAAGTGCACCAGAAGGCACTTGGGACCATAGTGAGCACAGAAAGGCCCTTAGAAGCCACCTGGGTCCTTTGCACAGGAGAAAGGACTAGCAGAGTTCTGTACTTGGAGGCACCCAGGTATGCCCTGAAAGGCAGTTGGAGGCCCTGGAGAAGAGCATAAAGGTGCTATGCTGGCCCAAAGATGCGGCATACCGAAAGGCAGTCAGAAAGACCCCAGTGAGAAGCTGGGAACACAAAGCTCTGGGTGCCAGGGACTGCTGCTTCCCACAGGAGCATACGCAGCTTTCAAGGGCCCAGCAGCCTGTGGCTCTGGAGCCTGGAAGCTACAGGATGGAACCAAGTCCCACTCTGTCGCTTCTCCTGTCACTGGAGAAGACAGGCTTTCTGGAATGGGGGGAAAGCACCAAGATGGCACTGGACAGGCAGGGACCTGAGGATGTGGGAGCAGAAGATGACATGACACAGCCGGTGCTTTCCAGGCTACTTTAATACCAAGTGAACAGCACGCGACTGGACCTTCTGGTCCCAAGGAATCATTCATAGACAGCCGGTAACCCCACGGCTGCTTCCCTGCAGCGCAAACAGCCCTGCACCTCCCAGAGCTCACAGACACTCCTCTTGTTAAAAAGCAGCTCCCCCAGCCCATGGAACGTCCCCTGTTCACCAGGACAGTCCTCATGTGTGGCCTTGTCCTCACCTGAGGCTGTTCCTCAGGAACCAGGCATGCCAGTTGAGGAGAGACAGTCCCCCAGTGATCCCAGGCAGCCCCCAATGTCCCTTCCACCTCCCCAGCCAACACTGGCAGTCTCTCCAAGCAGCTGCTGCTTCTCCCAGGACCCGCACCAGGCCCCTCCACTGCAGCAGAGCAACACAAACCAACTTAAAAGAAGCCAAACTTGGCAGGTAAACCTACATCCCCAAAAAACAGAACTGTCCCCAGGGGCCAGCCGGGGACAGGGCAGCTGTCACAGACCATGCCAGCAGCCCCCTCCTCCAGAGCCAGCTCTCAAAACAAACCCAAACAAACTCAAAGCAAAGCTGGAACAGGACCAGGTCCCCAGCGGGGCTGACATGCTGCTCCTGCGGCTGGCGGCACCGAGGCTGGTGGCTCAGCTTCAACTCATGGTTTGAGCAGAACAGCTGCCTACGTCAGCTGGCATCCTGCAGCGGAGAGAAAAGCATCAGGCTCTGTGCGGGGCTGCAGGGAGCAGCACCCCAGAACTCCCTCCCCTTGCATCCTCTGCTTCCAATCAGGAATCCCACTATCCCACTCAGAGCTCAGAGCCACCAGGGTCACATCTGGTCGGGGGGTGGCAGCGTTTCAGCCCTGCCTGCGAGGCTGGCTGCCCCCACGCACTAGAAGCACCACAGCTCCACACTCCCAGATGCTCCATGACTTTAGGAAAGGCAGCAGGTTAGCATCGATGCTGTGCGAAGACTCACCTAGCATCCGGAGAACCTGCAGCGCCACTGCAATCTTCGCCGCCTCATGCCCGCTCCTGCCTGGCCCTCCCTGCCGGACCCACGTGAACCCACTGAAGGGCACGGGGCACCCTGGGATCACCACCCGGCACCAGAACCGCAGCCACCCGTTGGGGTTTGCCTGGACGCACTTGGTGAGGAACTGGGGGGTCCCCAGGTACTGCCTCCGGCACAGAGTATTCAGGCGGTCCAGCGTGTTGCGCAGCACCGGAGACAGGGGTGCCTGCTTGGGGACCCCCAGGCACTTGGCCCCTTGCACCTGGCTGGATGATGGCTTCTCCTCACATGACTGCAGTTTCTGCTTCAGATCGGGGTTCAACCAGTCCACCCTCATCTCCGCCCCACCGAGCCTCACGCTCCCTAGGAGAGACCGGCAGCAGTTGGCAGGAGATGCTCACAGACCAGCCCTCCAGTATCACCCCATCCCACCCCGTCCCATCCCCCAGCATCTGGCGCAGTGACCCCCACGGGCGGTTTGGCACTGTCCCACAGTGTACAAACTGCACAGGATCCTCTCCCCTGCCTCCATGACCCCTCGCAGCTGCAGGGCAGTTGGTTTTCCATCTCCTTTTGCTACCAAGGTGTGCTCGGGGCTGCTAAACTCAGGGGATTTTAGGGGCAGCATGCCTTTAGGGACAGGTACAAAGACATCAAAGCCAAATGCTTCTCAGCTGAGGCAGAAACAGGTACAAATCAGGACTTTGGAGGTTCCAGTTGGATGTCTGGGAAACGTGTCCCATCAGAGGGCAGTGCAATCATGGGACGGGGTACTGAGGAGTAGGGCATCTCCATCAGGAGGGTTTAATAACTTGGTCAAAGCTCTCTGGATGCCTTCCACTGGTACTGGTGATGCTCCTGCTCTGAGCAGGCAGTTGCCTGAAGAGCTCCAGCAGGCCCTTTACCCTGCCGCCACTTGGTCTGCACCAGGACTGCTGGGGATCAGCCCCACTGAGGACAGCTGGCCTCCCATGGGACACAGGGAGAGAACAAGGGATGTCTCAAGGCTGAATCACCTCGCAGCTGAGTGGAGGTGGGATCAGTCCCTCCTTAGAGACACCAGGAAGACCAGCCCAAGCAACATCCCACAGCACCCCAGCCTCCCACTTACCTTCCATCAGGGTTTTCTTGGCCATGGCAGCAGCCTGGTGTGAGCTGTATTTCAGCACAGCGAGCTGAGCCCGCTTCTGGCAGGGGCTGGTATAGAGAGTGACGCTGAGGACCCCCTCCGTGACCCGCTGCAGCACGGCCTCCAGCTCCCGTCGGCTCACCGAGGTGGCCAGGCCATCCATACTCAGCTCACACTTCTCTGTGCTCTTGCACACCACGATGGCGCAGCCCTCCCGCACCTCGAAGTTGTTGAAGGCAGCAATTGCCTCCTTGGCACCACGCCGGTTGCTGTACTTGGCATAGGCAAAGCCCCGGTTCAGCCCACTGAAGGTCATCATGAGGCGAAACTCGTAGAGCTTCCCCACACTCTGGAAGAGCCTCGTACACGTCCTGCGGCAGCTTCCCGATGAACACCTCTGTGCCAGCCGGTGGGGGGTTGCCCACCCAGCCTGCAGGCACACAGCGACACAGTGCACATGCATGAGACCCACCTCGCCTCCGTGCCTGCCAGGCACCCTAGGTGCCATGCTCCCAGGGCACCACAGCACTGAGATGCTCTTCTCACATACCTGGGGGGGGGCCACCATATCGCCTCTGCCCGTTGATCTGCACGAGGTCAATGCCGGTTTCTTTTGCCCAGGCAAGCAGGGCCATCTTGTTGGCCTGGTTGATACTGTTGGTCCACATCTGAGAAGGTAGATGATGTTGGCGCTTGTCTGACTGAAGAGTTTCCAACCTCCCAACTGGGGGCATCCCAACCCCATGAAGCAACTGCAAGGCCTAGCACCAGCCAGGATGCGGAGGAGCCTCTCAACACTGCACATCCAGAGGACTATCCTGCCCACTGTCCAATCCTGCTCCACATAACTATGTCCAGCAACTTTGGTAGAGCACAAGGACACCAACAGTTCCCCTCTGAATGCCTGCAAGGGCTTTGAAAGCCAAGACACAGGCAGCAGCTGGCTGGCACTGCAAGAGGGGGCTGGAGCACAGAGCCAAGGTGACCCATCACATCACGAGATCCCAGGCAGGCTGGGACACCAAGACAGCCAACTCTCTTCTACCAGCATCTCCTCAGGCTTCTGAGGACATCAAGGAGGGTCTGAAGACACCATCCATGTGGCAACATCATCAGGTTTTAGCTCATTAAGTACTGTGAAGTCTCATTAGGGCCCCTGAAACAGTACACTGAGTGGGATTAACCCTGGCTCAGGCTAAAATGCAGTTTGGCTGCACTTTCACCATGTGCATCTCCAGGTGCCTCACCAGGTGGTAGCACTTTTCTATCTCCAAGGGGTTTCATCTTTCCTGAAGACCAGAAAACACCTTTGGATGAAGGTGGGGACCCGTACAGGGGAAATCTCTACTGAGAGGGTGCAGAAAGACCAGCCACGCACACCACTAAGCCTCCTGCCATGGCTCTGCAGCTCCCAGGGCTAGGTGCCAGCACAGGGCACCTCCTTACCCCCGGTACGGGGGGTGCGGGGCAGGGAGGTGCAAGGGCTCCTGCGAGAGGCAGGACCCGGCTCTTCCCCAGCGATCAGGTACTAACGGGGCTCATCATCACCCCCACGGTCTGCCCGGGGCACCGGGACCACCAGCCCCAGCTCATCGCGGGGGAGAAGGGGTGGGATGGGGCGGCTCCGGG